TAGTGATATATAGCCACCTCGTAGCGGAACTTCTGGTTCAACGCGTCTGCTCAGAACCACCGTGAGGAGGCCGATCGTTCAGTCGTAAGGGGCTAGGACCCAGATAGGCCCGAGTTCAGAGATAAACCCCAAAATGTCGGTTCATTATTCTGTAGTCACTTCATGCGCCAAGGTCCAGTCATTACATTCGGGCCTCTCTTCAGTCCTTCCAAAAAAAATTTAAGCGTTCCCATACATCATCCGAGATCTGTTGCCCCCTTATACAGAGTTATCCCTCGGTTATGGCTAATTGATCAGCCTATGTAGTTCCCTCCTGTATCAGAACCCCTGTCCCCAGTTGGTAAGAGATGCAACCCAGTGGTCCCAACAGCCTGAGAATTTAGCCGAGAAGGCAGTAAGCGAATTATCAAAGTATCGGTCCGGATACCCCCTTATTCTAAGCTCTATCTTCAGAGTGATAAGGAAAAGGACTTCGGCAGCAGGTAACATAGAGAACGATCGAGCACGATGTAGGAATGAACTGATAACCGCCGATTTCTGTTGTTTACTAAAGTAGGTTGGGAAGTCCTGGATAGCTTGGAACAGGTTATTCCCCGTCTCCAGTAGCGTAGTCTGATTTCTATGGGATGGAAAGCAGCAGATCCCAACCGGTGGTAGAAACTCCAGAAGCTAACATCCAAGGAAGTCCCAACGACCTCCATTGCCGGTAGGCTTGAAACTTCCGTAAGATTCTCCGAGCTTTGTTCTTGGACGATGCGGACTTCTCAGAGAATTGGACAAATACAGACACATCATCCACAAGTCGCACTCCATGAAAGAGGATTCGGTCCTTGCCTAATGAGTTGAGGAAATGAACTTCGTTGAACATGCACAACATGACTGCCAAAGCCGGGCTCGAAGACTTGCCCATCGGTACTCCCACGGTCTATTTCAACACCTTGGTCATTATTGTTATGTAGGAGCGGTGGAGATCATACGCCACAAAGCGTTCAATCAGAGAGAAATTGATAAACTTCCAGCCGATCATGGATTTACAGGCGGAAAGCTTCGCCCCTTTACCTTTCTTTCTTACCCATACCCCTTCGAACCTACGCAGTTGAAAATATTTCCCAAACCACCTTACTGCTTCTCTGATGGAAGAGTGTGGTAACTTAGTAAACATCTCGTTAACATCATAACTAGCACAGAGAAGCCTATCCCCCGTAGGAACTCGTTTATTAATGTCCTTAAGAGCAAGTACAAGGTCAGTAGTGCATGAGAGATTGAAGTGCATGTTCCCTGACAGTCTTTTCACTATAATATTCAGACAACTCGTAATCTTCTTACATGCCGAGATACTTAGTTCGTTAGTGGATGGACATATAGGCCTCAATTTTTGAATGTTTTTGTGTTTAGGCAAGGCGTACCCCTTCCCGAGGCTCCCTTTGGAATTCCATTTAGCAATTGTGTCCAAGGTGTCAGCTCGATACTGAGCATGACACAGCCGAATAACATCTTTTTCACATTCCTGCACCGATGTGAAATCCGAATTGTTAAAAAACAGTGCATCTAATCCTGCTTTGTACATAACAGGGCAACAAAATAGCGTATCACCAGGATTATGATCGACAGGGGTGAGAACAAGACCATCCATGATTCTACGAATGAAGTGCAGACTATCTAAACAGAAGGGCAGATCCTTGAGCGAATCCAAATGTAAGCTTGGAGGTACAGCTGACGCAGGAGCGGAGTTGGGGAGAGGACTATGAGAAGTAAAACATTGGGATAGGAGGGTATCAGAAATAGATAGTACGTAGTCGTTGGCATTGAAAGGGAGATCCTGGAGGGAGTCGAGAATCTGGAGGCTGAGAAAGGAGCATGAATAGGAACTCGAAGGGGGAGGGATATTCCTAGAGTTCTTAATCCAGTTTGGCAGCCAGCTAGCCTCCATAGCTCTAAACGTTACATGTCCAAGGCCAGGAGGGAGCAAAGTTTCTAGAAGGGAAGATGCGTCATGGCAAGGTAGATCATCGATCCGCAAACACTCTTTAAATTTGGATACAAAATCCGAGCAAGCACATACTACCTTCTGAAGTCGGGAAATTGGCCTGAAATTGTGTAAGGTATCAACAATACTGCGATGTTTAGTCCAAACTACACACATCCTTCTGACAAGCATGTTTGCAAGTGCTTCGGGGAGGGGGGAGAGTTTGATGATACGAGAACACACATACCTAATCATCGGTTTAGACAAGCATTCGGCATACCGAATACGGAACACCAGACGTTTGCGTGGCCAAAAAACAAATTTACGACGGATCACCCCAGAGAAAATCGTCCTCAGTGTTTGCCTAGTTTCCTTTTTAGAACAGCATCTAATCGTGTTATATGCAAGAATCAAATTTTCAAGTGGCTAGGAGTACAAAAATTTCCGATCCGAAGGATGACTGAGCATGCGACAAAACGGGCCTTTAAGTGCTTCCGCACGGGAGCAGAATGTAATAATGTTCTCAATGTAAACGACCTTGCTGTTCTCAAACCAAGATCTACAGTGTTTGAGCTGATTTCTGCCGAATTTGCTACACACAATCGACGCACCAAACATCTGTTTAACCACCTTCCGCGAGTCGGAAAGCACCGAGCCCTTTTTCTGTACAATAGAAATCGAGGAAATACCAGTAGTAACACAGCTACGTAGGATATGAAGCAAGGAGATAGAGGAGACCCCAATGGAGGAAACAAACTCAGCAAACATCTCATTCCTGACTGGGTTACCTTGGCCAGGGGGGGCAGAGGTTAAGTTAGTTAGGTCACCCTTGCGGCGAGCCCTATTCCTTCTCTCCCTCTTACCCGGTCTACCTTTCCTATTCCTCCGTTTACCCGCCGTAGGTCGGGAATTCAGATAAGGGGAAGTCCTACCAATGAACCGCTTCTCAGCGACCAAGAGATCATTCGAGGAAAAAAAAGCGAGACGGGTAACGACATAATGCTTAACACCAATCCTACGTAGCCAAGTATACAACTTGTGATTTTGTACATCGCCCTGTTGAAACGTCATCAGCCGATTAACATGCTTCGTCCACCTTATATGTAGTGTACGTGAAGTGCAACCTATATAGTAGTGCTTAACGAAGGGGGAAACGATACAATATACTACCGGACCTGGTGACAGGTGGAAATCGTAAGAAGAGCAAAGCAGACCCCGAATGTGTACTGCAAACTTGTCACACCACGGGAGCTGCTTACATAGGATGAGTGCAATTACAAGAAGACGATACAGATAATTGCCTGCGGAATCGACCAGCCCGGACTTAGTCTCGCGAAAAGGTAGGCACTGCCTTACCATACTCCATAGGACCCGTTCGCTTGGGCAACGTTTCTAGCCCTCACGGATGTTGTCATCGTCCTCCACGTCGACTCGCTGAGTGCCGTCCAAATCGGGTTCCAGCTCCGCTTGTCCCGGAAGATCCTCGGCTTCGGAATCTGATACCACTTCAGTAACCTTGTTAGCATGGACAGGATGTCGGTGGTCGAAGGCGAGGGAAGCTCATAACTCTGCAATCTCGTTAATAGCTTGCTCGCATGTGACGAAAGCAATGCCCTCCTTCCCGCACAAGATCTGCAGTCCATGCTTCCTTAACCTCTTCAGATACTTCTTCGTCTCCTTCACGAATTCCTCTCTCTCCGCCACTGCTTCCTTCTTCGCCAGACGTTCGGAGGTACGTTTAGGCGGTGACGGTCGGATGGTAAGATCATCAAGCCCTTCCTCGTTGTGACAACCTTGCTCCTGATCTATATCATCATCATCGGTCGCTTCGATCATCCTTTTAGCCAGGTTTGATCTGGGAGTCCGTCCCTGTCGGACAAGCTTGCCAACTGCCCTTTCGAATCTCTCCCTTAAAGCTTGCACCTCCAACTCGGCAATCCGTTTCTCCTCCTTCATGTTGCTGAGGGCCTTGAGCAGCTTGTTGAAATCCTGCGTGGAAGGAGTGGCGGCAGCACCCATCGTCCGAGCTTTAGCCCTCGCCGGTGCCTCTGGTGGACTGGTAATGCAAACATTACTTGCCGCGCGCTTGTGCCCCACTTGTCCAACCGAACGTGTGAGTTTTTCCATCTGTTTACGAATGTACTCGTATTCCAAGCGCAACATGTCAATCTGCTTTTCCAACTTCTGCTTCTCCAAATCGTCATTCCCACATGTACAGCGCATCTGATCTGTATTCTTCGATATGTCAGCCCTCCCGAGAAATAATTCACACGCATCATTTATCTTGGAGCCAACAATAGAGCTAATGCGTTCCTCGAAATCCTGACGTTCCTTCTGCTTCTTGAGAGCTTTTTCCTCGGCTTGCTTGATTTTCCTTTTTTCTTCCTCCTCTCTGATTAGTTTCTCTTTCTCTCTGATAGCTTCCTGTCTTGCTTCTAATTCAGCTGCCATAAATTCAAACACACGATCAAGCTTCTCCTAGTTGTTCTTCCACCAGTTAGGACGAGGGGTCAGAGCCATGCCAGGAGCGGGATACGTATTGGATGAGGAAGCAGGGGGAGGTGGAGGAAGGGCGAGCAGGGGAGCTTGCGTGGAATATGGACCGTTAGCAGGAGAAGGACCATGATCCGGGTTGGTGGAAACAAGGGTTGGGAAGGAGGACTGACGCGGGCGGCGGGGATACGGACACTCACGCTGGAAGTGACCCGGCATATCACAATTGTAGCAAAGCCTGGGGTTAGCCATTGTTTGAGGTATGAGGAAAACACGGGGTTGGATAGCGCAACTGGGGAGGGCAAGGGCCCAAAAAAAACTTGTGCAAAAAGGAGAAAGAGACAGTCAAAACAGCCTCGGGCAGGAGCGACGAAGAAGATTTTTTTTCAAGAATTGAATCACGGTATTCGTCAGGGTAGGGAACGTGCAAGCCAAACTTGGAATGATAGTAACCATGATGCACACAATAGAGGGTTTATCAAATACAGAACCCTACGCAAGAGATCGTACCGAAGTTTGAAATAGTTAGGGGCGAGCCGACACAGCGTGGTAGGGAGACCCGGCAATCAACAATAGAGATGCGATCGAAAATGGAAATATAAGCCGGTATGTAACGAAAACAAACAAACAGACCAAGCCCAACAGGGAAAAGGGACAAGGGACAAGAAATTAAGGGGAGTAACGATTAGAAGCACGCACAAGCAACCACGCGTCAGTACTGCAACTCCTACTAAGGTTATTGCTTGAACCGCAGGTGAGCTAAGGCATGGATGCCATATTGCCCATAAGGAAGTGGGTACAACTAGTAGACAGGACGGTGTTGACGACCCCGTCGGTTAGTATCTTCACGATTGCATCTAGCTACAACATACCTAAACGTTCCAAAGGAAATCTCAGCAAAAACACGAAACACTCTGAGCCAAAAAATAATGCAATCCAGACACCATAAAACGAGATCAAGCCACGACATTGTGAAGATACAACCACAGGGTGATCGGGTGGTGAAAAGTCAGGAAGGAGGTAATAAGCTCACACTTGTAACACACTTYAGWGGGTGGAAGGTAAGACTAGAAGGAGGCAGAGGCGGCGAGGAAGGAGATGCAGGGAGGACAGGGAGTAGAAGGGGGGAGGAGAGAGAGAGAGAGAGAGAGAGAGAGAGAGAGAGAGAGAGAGAGAGAGAGAGAG